TTTATTTCATCGCTTGACATAAGTATCGCGTTGAAGATGTGACTGATCAAGTTTAACTATGCTTAACTTTGAATATTTCCAACACAGTTGACTATTCCTACAAAGACTCATTTCGATATTCTTTAGCGAAATCTTTTATCGCGTTTGTTAATTTCACTGTCATCTTAATTTATTTGACAAAATAGTGCCTATTTTTATTATTTCGAAAGAATATTAATGTTTATCAAATTCTATCATCGTTTTTCACTATCAAAGACCAAGAACTATGCATATAAGACAATCATTAATGGAAAATACAATTGTAAAGGCATCTAAAAATTGCATTGTCCAAAGAACACTTTGATGCGTATGTCCAGTTAGTAAGTTTTTAAAGTATGAATTCTATTCGATCGAATGTATCAAATAGCTGACAACCAGTCAAAGACACCAAATATTAATAAATATTTGGTGAATCGAAGAAAAGCAAGAAGAGGCATTATCCTTAAACAAAAGCAAATGTTTTAGAAATAGCTGGAAACATGAAAAATGATGATATGACACATTTATTTAAAAACTTTTCTAGATTTTTAGAATATCCAAGGATCTTACATTACTTGGTAGCATATGTTTGTCTATTGTGATAAATAAAATTTCATTCACTCAAGGTATATGAGTATGATGTTTTATATCTATTTTCGTTGAAATTAACAATATTGAAATTAGAAGATATTTAAGTAACTAAAATGAAATAAATAAATTTTGAAAAATTTATCATAATTTTTAGGCAATCTTATAAAAATTTTTGTATAAATGTATCTTTTCATGAAATGTGAACAGTGTTTACTAACATGCATTTGCAAAAATGTTTTGATAAATATCGATAAATTCAGGTGAATGCTTAGTTCCCACTATTGATAGTTTAAATACATGGGTGAAAGCAAATAAAACGGTATTCAAAACTATCTAAACTTTTATTCATGAATGTACAATCATTTATTTTCCATTTATAGAAAATAACAATATTTTTTTCTGATCTAAACAGAGTTTCGTTTTTCTTTGTGCGGTATAGAGAGCGCTCATCTAAACCTAATTCTGCAACATAGCAGAATTTACTTTTGTCTGTATCACTATTTCATCTTTGTTAGGAAACAGTATTCAATATTGAAACTGAATGTAGTCAAATCGCTTAAAATGTATTTAAAATAATGAATTTAGAGAAGCATTCTTTCCAGTTAAAATATATTTTGAAATAGATCATTATTATCCTGAGTGATGTTCTTACAAAAAAGTTAAAATGAAAATCGTGTTGCATTCTATTAATAGCTTCATTATTCGGCATCTGTCTACGGTAGAGTCGTAACGGTATATATAGGTGTGGCGAACGTTGTTGCTCATATTATCCATGTCGGTATCCACATCTACCCCACCTATCTTTCTTACAATAAGAATTACGAAAAGAATACAAGTTCGAAACTAAGCAGCCTATATATTTGAAGCAACTAGCTATATAATAATACATTCTCTAGCAATTATTCTTGATTATATTTGAATGTAGTGATAAAAATATTGTAATTGTCTGTGAGTAGAAAAATAGTTTGTTTTTAATCTCACTATGTATGCACAACATGTATTAGTACAAGAGTACAAAACATATAGTTCAGTTCAGAAGAAAAAACATTTAATCAAAGTAATCTTTTTTCTTTTTTCTCCAGTTGACCTCGAACTGTTGTCGAAATTTCATTGTTCTGGAAAATGTGCAATTTTTGTAGTGTCTATATATGAATAAGATGAATATTTAGATGTTAAGAGAATAAGAAGTAGTGAGTCACTTTGTTATTTCGTAAGGCAGCCATAAGAAATTGTGCTCCTTCATCTCCAATGCGATTATCAGCCAGGGATAAGTCGGTCAATGTCTGTACATATAGGAGGAACTGCATATGAAAGATGTAAGAAGTGAGCGCGAATTACCGTATTATTTTGTAGAGTATCAGCAAGATGTTGTGATCCTTCATTCTTTATTTGATTTGCATTCAAACCTAGGGAAGTGAGTGTCTATGTTAATTAGAGGAAAGAGATATGAAAACGAAAGTGAATAGAGAGAGCACGAAAGTTACCGTGTTTCTGCGTAAGACCTCAGCGAGATGCTGCACTCCATCAGCTCCGATTTGATTGCTCCAGAGATCGAGCGTGGCTAATGTCTGTTTAAGAAGAAGATAAATATGGAAGAGATGAAACAAGAGAATACATCACCGTATTATACCGCAAGGAATCTGCAATATGCTTCGCTCCAGTAGCCTTGATTTGATTGTTACCAAGATACAATGTGGTAAATGTCTGTATATATATATATATAAAATGAATATGAAAGAGGAGCAGACTATGGGAATCATTCTATTATTTCGTATGTTTAAAAATTAAAGCATGAAGTGGTCCTAAATTATCATCTACATTTTATTATCTATTTAAATTGTACGGTCGATGCTTGTCTTTCGCTCTATGCAAGCGTGATTTGTATCAAAGCAACTAAATATGTCTTTTCATTCAAAACCAACTGATTGATTCTCTATAAATACATATTATTACAAAGTTCAGTTTATCGTAAAAAGCCCTATCAAAGCTAGCTTCGATTATTCTACGAACGATTGATTTAACGTCTTCAGATGACATCTGTTTTTATTTCTCTACGACAACTTCAAAATATATTTGTATGTAGTACTTCGTCATCTAAAAGATGAAAAGTTTTGCTTTCGTACCTATTGGTGAATATGATGACCTAGAATCTCGTTGATGACTATTTAAACTTTTCTATCAGAATCCAACTTTGAATTGAAAATCTATGGTTGTTATCTTATGGGAAGTGTCCCTCAAAAAATTCGATTTCAAATCAGTCCATCATTATCATAAATTCCTTTGAGTATGTCTTTTAGGAGATGAGTCCACAGGACAACCGAGCAAGGGCATACAATTGAAGATTATTATCCATTGACTTTATCATACTAAGCAATGAAGCGAAGCGAACGTCACAATATCTTCTGACATAATGTAAACTATCTTTTATAGAAATGCTTGCAAAAAAATCAAATGATTTCACAGGATTGATAGAAAATTTTTTATTATTCTCATTTTGTGACACAGTCAGTGTTTTCTCTGTACATTTTTCATAGACATAATGAAAAAGAGTGAAAATTTGAAATTCCTCATTGTCAATGACGTCTCTCTTAAATAGTTATTTGTTGTCAACCATAAATAAGCCTACGAAATGGTATCATTGATACAATGAATGACAATTGACTAACTTGATTTTAGGAGGGAACAATGAAGAAATCTTCTCCTAACTATAGTCGCAAAAAGGAAATCGACTGACTATATGATTCGCCTTTCATTTAATCTGCAACCTACTCATTTCAAATATTTGATATAAATATTTGATAATTGGTATATCCTAACAAGAGCATTTCGTTAATGTTTAGTTACTATCGAGTTGAAAAACAAAATTAAAAACATTCTTTTTACCTTATTAATTCGAAGGGTTTGGGCAACAATCACCATGTCATAGTCAGTCAATCCTTGATTATTTAAGTTCAGTATTGGATTCTTTTCTTGTTGAGTGATTAATTGTTCAAGTTGTGAATTCTCATATGGTTGTTCTTCAATTACACGAACATTTTCGAGTGATTGTTGCAACTTAGTTCGGCATTCATCAAGTCCTTGAATATTATATTCGCGCATCGTTGGAGGCTTTATCTTAGACCATTCTTTATCCATTTTGCGCAAGTATTCTTCATGGTTTTCATAATCTTTCAAAACCTGTACGTAGTCACCCGTATCCAGAGTCTGATTGAATAATGCCCGCCGTTCTCGTAACCTTTGCCATTTGCTTAAAACTTCGGTTTCATAGTCTTTTATTTGCTTTTTATTTTTCTCGTCAACCTTCAATAATTCTTCATTCTTTGATTTTTCATGATCATTGATCATTTTACGCATTGATGCAAATAGCTCGGCAATATTTGACTTTTTCGATCGCGAGTATTTTTCATATTCGATAAACATTTTTTCTATTTCGTCCTTCGGATTTGTTGCAAGAGGATGTGTTCTGTAAATCTGTCTCAACTCAACATAAACAATCGAGTTTATTCACAGAGAACAATGATTCAGTTGCCAACTTACTTTTTGGGCTATCTCTGTGATAGCATCAGTAATCAATTCACATTTATGAGTATCTTGCTTATCGGCGAGGCAATTCGAGCAGTAAATTTTTTTATTCTCGGGACACCAGAATTCCAATTCTCGTGTGGGATGAACCGAACAATGAAAAATTTTTGGTGGCCTAGGTTCACATGGCCGGTGATCTTTAAGTGCAGGTAGCTTGTGTAAAGTCTGGTAGCATTCTGAGCAATAGCCCTTGTTTTGACAATCTCTACACCAAACCTCAGCAACTTTTGTTTCACAATTACAGCACTGAATATGACCTAGAATCAAAAACCAAGATGCCAATATGAGTGATAATATGAGTACAACAATAGCTATGCTAATCGACTCCAAATAATAGGAATCATATAGGCGAGATTTGAACCGATTTGGCAATCGGCCACAACAGGAATCAGTTCGAATTAGGTTTTTTTGAGAAAAAGACCAAGACCTTCATTTCAGGAAATCCTAATATAATTTCTTTCTTTGCTTCGATTCTATTATGAGATATTACCGTAGAAGCTTCGAATATCCTTGATTTAAACATATGTAAGAGCTATTTACCTCAAAATGTTTGTAAAAATCGAGTTAATTGCGAGAACGGCTGATTTAGGTACACAAGCACATTTCTAAATTACTCGTTATCCGCATCTAAACCATCTCGTTTTTCTATAGACAACTCAATGATATACGAATCAAACATTCATTCGTGTAAAATACCAAAATAAGTGTCTCTACAGTGAAAGAAAATGCACCATTGTTTAGAAATCTATATGCATCCAATTTTATCGACGACCATTTCTACTGTACACATGCGAAATGTTGTATTTGAGTTATTTTATCTTACCTTTACTGCTCGATACTATTTCGACAATATCACGAACAATTCGATTGCTTGGTAGTATATCTAAACGGGCATTATCGATTTTTGTATCATCACGTAATGGACATTGAAATTGACCACGATTATGCTCGGCTGTTTGTTTAATACATTTCAAACAAAACGTATGCGAGCAAGGTAACACACGAGGATCATCAAAATAGTCTAAGCATATCCCACATTTGATAAGCTCATCAACTAGTTCATTGCGTTCTTCGTCAGTTGTGTTTGTTGCCATATCGATGCACAGATGAAAATCTGAAGTAAAGAAAACACAATTGATAATTAAACCAAGTAGCAAAAACTATTACGAATACATATTTTAGCGTGTTCGACATGATAAGCTCAACATTATGTTCATTATTCGACTATCTATTTGACTGAACTTAGATAAAATCCCAAGACATACTGAAATACAAGTTAAAATTAGATAGGATACTGCTCTATTCACTTCAACAAGAAATTCAATTTTACTCCTTTCTTTTGTCAAACTTGTTATAAAATAGTGTAACATAGTTATCTTTTCTCATTTATTTCTTCAATGAGATAGAGAAAATAATTTCCTATGAAAATGGATGGTTCGTAGTAATTGTTTTTCTCGTTCTTTCTTAAATTTATTGACGCTTTTCTTTGTTAGTATACCATTCCAATACGAGTCTTAGATTTGAGTATCATCAGAAATACAGCAGTTGCAGAATGTCTGTTAAGCAGGAATCAGAATTTTGTGGACTTATGTATCATTTAAAACGAGTTGGTTACCACAAACTAGAATTCTGTTATATTCTCCTTATTGCTCAATATAATTCTATGTTCCACAAGATAAACTTTAAATCAGGTAGCGATCAGAGGATAGTACTATCCTTTTCTAGTCAGTTTGTATTCTGCCTAGAATTCTCTGTTATCAAAGTCAATGTATTTCATTCTGGCATGCTTAAATTCTGCTTAGAATCCTACAGAATTCTTTTTTTTTAAATCAGAATTTTGTTTAAATCCTGCTAGCTTTGTAAAATTCTTCGCTAGAATTTCTTGTCTGTTCCTAGTATGGCTATTCGATGTTTGAGGCTCCTCCGAAGTTTGTATTCTGTTACTGGTGACACAGTTCTGTTTCAAATCTGGTAGTCTTTTTTAAATTCGTCGATAAAGAGTGGTCATGACTGTGTGTTAACTTCTGGTGATTTTGTTTATTTTCTACTATTAGGAATAAAATTCTCTCAAAATTCTGCTATAATTTTTGACTTTCTTACAGAAATCTGTTGTTTGACGGGATGATAAGCTAGTGTTGCGCGTAGTACACTATTTTCTAATGGGAGTTTATCTTAGTGAGTTAATCCATTGTTTACTGATCGGATTTTTAAAATTCTGAATTCTGCTTGGTAGGCATTCTGTAGCCCCTCGTATCCAAAGGATCTATGAATTCTGTCTACCTTAGATAAGAGTAGGTCGTTATTAAAAATTTAGATTGATTTTCCGATTAGTTGTTTGATGATATCTGAAATTAATAAAAATGATTTAAAAAAAAGAAGCAAACAGCACCTAATTAACTCTAGAATGTCGAGAATATAGACTGTTTTGTACAGTCATTATTCTGACAATTTCTACAGATCTCCTTTAAATGTTCGTTGTGACTTTCTATTTTCAAATAGGTTAAAATAAATGACTCATGAGCAAAAAAAAAAACATTTTGTGTAAGCCTTACTGCGCGTAATCGAAAATGAATGCATCCACCTACCTAAGAAGTGCGTATTGTTGTTTGTAAATATAGGTGCTTTGAATATGAGCGTCACAGGAAGTTTCTTCTTTCTTAACAACTATGATAAGTGAAGAATGCAATTAAATCAACTCTAGGAGTACTTCCTTTTTACTTTCATCGAATGTGTTTACATTGTGAAATGATTTTTGCAAGAACGAAAAAGAAAACTCAACAATACAATAGTGTTAGTCATTGATTGCGTATATTTACTTAAGTTTCTAATGCAGTATTCACAAGTGAGTGGTAGAGGTGTGATGTTGGATGAAAGTTAATTCATTTGCCAACATTGCCTATTCGCATATTTCACTCTCAACAGCAAATGACGATTGTGGGTGTGAGTGACTGTGTAAAAGGATGACCTACATGTCCGCAAAGTTATGCGCTTGTGGTACCATCTTAAGTTTCAGGTTATACTAGGGAAAATAATGTTACATCATATATAGGCCAACAACTTTGATCTATTAACGTAATCCAGTAATATATGAATGAATAAGGCCAGAATAAAATTTCAAAATTCAGCAAATCTGATCCTCTTTCTTCATCCTTCTGTATTTTATTGTTAGGCTTTTAATTGTTGAAAAATAAATTTTTCAGAAAACATGACCTTGTAAATATATTGATTTAGACTTCGACAATTCGACTAAAAAAATACTAGACAAAAGAAGAGATAATGCGTGTGTGGGTATTTTAGTTTGTCAGTACGGATTAATCTCTGATCATTTGCTGCCAAAATGGAATCCAACAAGCTGTCATATATATTTTATTTTCTTCATAGAAAGCGATTGAGCGTTGAAAAAATAGATGATAGACAATCAAATTTTTGTTTTGCTTCATCAGTTTTCTTTCAGCTATTTAAAGGTGAGGGCAAGAATAACTGATTATTTGTTATATGAGGGTGTGGGTATTAGTGTGAGTAATGAGAGGATCAACACCCATACTCACCCCACTCTTCAATACTTATTAGTTTTAGCGATCGACGGGGTTGTTTCATGCTATTGGGCACACTTAAGTGCTTTGCACACTTTTTTATTTTCTTGTTCGAGGAATACATTTCGAAAATACGAAATCATTTCTTCTGTGTTCTTTCAACACAAACAGAATTCTGAGAAGGCACAGCATGTACTGCATAGAAATTTGCGCTAGAGTTGAAGACGGTACGGGACAGTCCCGTCTATTTCTGATTGGTTCATAATACTGCCAAGTCAAACAATGATTTGAAATCAACAAAACAAAATATTTATTTTCTGTAAGTAATTTTGTTAAATATTCAATGTTATTTTATTGCTTCCTATAGTCTGACTTATAAACATGCATTCCTATTTAATGTTTATAATTGCGTGGAAATCAGAGATGAACACAGGACAGGACAGAGAACATTGTTCTGTGCCCCATTCCATCCTGTATTTCATTTTATTTTTGAAAAAAGTTCACCTTATATGTATTCTTTCATGATGCTTGAAACAAAATAAGAACGACAGCGGTCACTAAAGGAGTAGAAGATAATATTAATTTTAACTTTGGTCGAAAAGAATTATTAAATCAGAAATAATCAGCTGTGATGAAGAAGAATAAAGGAAAACGAAAAACCAAAACTAGAAGACTATTCTTTAGAGCTGCATACTCTTAAGATCTTGATGACAAAACCCAAGAAGTTTATGTTTTTCATATCTTTTTTAAAATAGGTTATTGAAGTAATACATCAGAATGCTTATATTTTTTTATTGTATGCATAAAATTGATGATTGTTATAGCTTTAGCCTTTGTATTTGAAAACGATATAAAATAAATTATCTATAAGATAACTAATAAACCACTATATAATTCGGTTTCGGAAAATCACAGTAAGGATTCTTACTGTTTTACCATCTATCAGGACACAGTAAGACAGCAGAATAGGTCAAAATTGAAATATATGTCATATCCTGCCATCTGCCAGGATCAAGATTGGCAGCAGTACAAAATAGGATGGAGGAAAACAGGACAGAACGAAATCCTAATTTTCGTCCTATCCTGCTGCCCGCCAGGACAGAGGTGAGTAAAAGAACAGGACAAAAAAAAGTTGTCCTGTGCTCATCTCTGGTAGAAATCGACAAGATAATTTACATCATCTGTTGTTATATGTGTAAATAATTATGTATGCAGAGTTTAATGTGTAAAATTTGTTTAGATATCAATTCTTTCGTTTACTCGAAATAAAGTTTCTGAAAATGAAAATTACACATTAAAATGAGCCAATTGTTTTTCTTTCTCAATGAAACATCACATGAACTTGCCGAAGAAGTCACATGATTGATTTGAAAAATACAAAAATGTTTTTGTTCTTTGACAAATATTATTTAATAAAATACTTGAAAAATCACCCACGACAGACATGTTTCTACAGACATATTGCAAGTTTCATAGAATATGATTTTGTTTACTGTTTTAAGTCTTCTATTGGAGATATAAACGTATGATATTGACACACTCTTATATATATTCCAGAACTTTAAAGTAGTGAAATCTTATCAGATGACATGTTTTTCGTGACATCCGTGCAAGTTTTTTTCTTAATCTTTAAATGATCTTCGTGATCAACTCGATCAAAGACTATTATAGATAATTTTTTTTAATTTTTCGAATTAAATGAATTTTATTTTTGACTTAAAATGAAGAACAAAAAAACAAAGAATCCAGCATATCTTGAGAGATAACTATATTCATACAATAAAATATACGATTTTTATACATTTAAGAACTTTTTTTATTGTTTAATTCATTAGCATTATCGGAGCTATTCATATTCACTTGAGAAGACTTCCGTAACGGGCAAGATGAGATAGAATGACGTGGAATACCATCAGTCGTTTCAGTTTCATCACAGTCATGTAATAATTCAAGACTTTTAATATATCGACGTGAGAAAACATCTAAAAAAAATACAAATAATATAAAATGACAAAATCTCGTAATAACTTTACCGATATAAAAAGAAGCTCCATTATAAACACTAACAGCAAATATTGAGCACAGAAATATTCCATTGACATACCTTAAATAAATTCAATAGATATACATATATAGTAGTAGACAAAAGTCTCTAGTCGAGAGGATCTTAGCTATCATACACGCTGAAGATTTAAAAATCATTAGCATGCTATTTCTTTTTATTACAAGATTCTTTTGTGAAACTTGTAAGTGTTAGTATTTAACTGTTGATGAAAGTTCTCTAGAAATTAGAGTTCACTTCATTAAACAATTACTGAGTTATAGTTTGCAAAGGACAGCCCATAATTTTTCTTCAGACCAATGATCACAATTCTAGAAAAGGTTGATGAACTGTTATCAAATCAATAATGTAGATGAATGAAACGTAACATTATATATAATCAGAGATCGACTGACTCACAAAGCTCTTCTTTTTTAAAGTTATGAATTTCAAAAGAACAATCGATGCCCCACAATAATATCCATCATAAATGTCTTTGTTACTTAAGTAACGAAGTTGTGGTTGCTCCTCTAATCTACATTCTTAATAAAATATATGCACACAAATTTTTAGATCTTCAGCACATATGTTAACTGAAACACAGTGGAGTGAAGACTTTTGTCCACTACTGTATTTCAAGCAAATCAAAATAATAAAAAGGTTTTCTCCACTTACATATTTCGATAATACCATAAACATACTGGTAAAATCGATAGAAGCATATATCCAAATTGTAAAAAGAAATAAAATACAATTTTATATCGATTAATACCATCATTTGGTCCACCAAAACCAAATTTTTGTATAAGACGTGCAACAAAACCATCTTTGTCAGCTAATAACCATGTATAGGATGTAGCTCGTAAACCACGGTCAACTTTCTCTCGACGTCCATAAATAATGAATGCATAATATAATACTTGCCATATTAAATAGAAAACAACTGTATAGAATACAGCGGTTTTCATATGTAGGGATGAACCTATTTGAACAATAGCTGGATAATCTTTACGTTGAAGATCAAGTGGTAAAAGCCAACGAAGAGTAAATAATGTTAATGGTGGATACCTATAAATAAAACGGAGATATTAAGTAAATATTAAATAAATAGATTTACATATGAATAAATAAACTAGTCACTTTGTCGAGACCTATGGTTTTTTTTTTAAATATAAAATTATAGTTTATTTATATGAATACAAAAAAAGCCTTACTATGAAAAACAAGTGAATTTCTCCAAAGAACTATTGCAAAACTTAATGGACCATGACTTAGTGTATAACAAACAGTAAAAAGAATTTTTGACGACGGAAATACCCATATATAAAGTAATGTTAAAACATTGACGAAATAACATAAATCGTATACTAAAAATTAAAAATAAATGAACATTTCAAATAAAAAAATGTTTATTCAAATTTTACCAAAATAATGCCAACTTTTACGTTTATAAATAAAAAATCGAAGTGTTATTAGAAATAAAGCTTGAATTGTATAAGCAAGAGGTAATATATGAGGCCAACGTCCAGCTAAATTAATAAAAAATCAACTAGTAATAAAGTTATACAAAAAGGAATATTCTTCATACCAATCAACGGTGAAAAACAAGCATTAGCAACTCCAATAGAAAATGATATTTTATCTCGTATTCGAATAAAATTCGGTTTTTTTAAATTTTCAGACCATATATGAATACGTTGTTCTAATTGACTTTTAAGAATCCTTTTCTGTTCTTCAAGTTCAGCTATAGTCCTTCGTAAACGTTGTCGAGGATGTTCTCGTCGTTCTTCGACTATTTAAAAAAAAATTTAATTAAACAAATTCATTTTTGTTTATATTTTATTTTACTTTGATTTTTAATATTATCAATTTTATCTGAAACAGCTTCAAGAAAGTCATAAAAATCAAGTTCTTCTTCTTCATTAAGATTTTCTTCACTAATATTTTCTCCTGTTAACATTACATTTGACGATCCTTGTTTTAATTCATCATCACTTGTTTTCATTTCGTCTTTGAAAATCTGACTTTCTGTCATATCTAGAAAAATAATTATATATTAGAAAATAAATAAATATCTATCAACCACAAAAAAAAAAGAAATATGATCTATCTGAACACATATTACATATCACTATTAAGATCAACAAAACCAAGACACATAACATTCTGTCCAATCAATGCAACACTTGGTATGGAATTATAATTATTCCATTTTAATTCATCTATTTTATATTTAGACGATTCACCGGGTAAATTAATACAAGAAGCACCCTGTGGTGACCACATATACAAACGATTATTATGTGTACATAATGCTAAATAATCACGTTTTGGTTCCCATTTAATACATCGTATTGGTTGAGTTTGTATAAGTACAAAAGCTAAATGAAATGTTGGTTTAAAATCAAATATAAATAAAATATTTGGCATTGTATCATTTATTGTTGATATATATCGACCTGAACTTGAAAATTCAATAGATGATACACCTAATCGAGGATTAGCACGATCAAGATTAGGTTTTATTGGATCTATTTGAAGTGTACCATTATATATAATATATTTTGATTCAATGGAAACTTTTGATTCATTATTTGATAAGAGAGATGACGAATAAGTAGAAGATGAGTAAGGTTTACCTTGTCTAAAATATACATTTTAAAATAAATCATTTACATAAAGGTAAAGAAAAGAAAAGGAAATATTGAATGAAGAGATCATATATTCAATTGAAAATCAAGAGAAGAACTATTCTATTTTTAAATATTACATCTTATTTGATTCTCTATTTGGATTATGAATAGATTGCTAACAAACAAAACAAATTCTAATAAATTATTAAAAAGTAATTTAGTAAAATGTATATGCATTTTTCAATCTTTGCAGAAAATCGAAAATATTGAGTTTGAATCAAAATTTTGTGTTATTTTCGAATATATAGATTGAACATTTTTCTAGAACTTCTGTTTTACAAGTTATGAGTCGACCTTATACAGGCACAAATATTAAGTTAAGATGGAGAAAATTGACATTGTTTGCAACAATAGTCTCCTTTACTGCATAACATCATCATACTGATTTCTTTTTGCATAGAATTCAAGGCAAGATTATTCTCTACAAAATGATACAAAAATCAAGAGCTTCAGGACAATCATTCAGGAATGGTCAAGCTCACTGTGTAAATCTCTTCCATAGAAATAGAGAAAATTGCCTAAATTGGTACTGTGTCTCTTACCGAAATACTCACTATTGACAAGTGACTTTCAGCAAACTACTCATTAGTATACCATTTTATCGAGAAATATTTGCTCTGTAATTCGCTGTATTTGAACTGATTTTTGCTTAAATTTTGGTACGCTGAAGTTCATGCAAACTCAATTTTTGCGTCTCGAAAAAGTCGACTCATAACTCTTAAAGTAAAAGTCCTGCAAAAAATTTTCAAGCCACTCAATGTTTACACATTTTTTTCTTAGAACTTCAGCCGTAATCAGTTCTTTTTTTTCGACACTTTACAATTTTCTATCATGGGCTGGAAAAATATATCGTTATCATAAATCCATCAGTTTCGCTAGCTATAATTGACAAGAATTCGTTATACTTCTGCATACATACAGTTCAAACCGAAGACATAGGACTCACTGTTTGCGTCATGTCGTTTGCTCGCTGTCAATCATTCACGACTTTTGAGAAAAGCAAAACCAATGTGATCACATGGATTGGAGAGTGTTTTATTCAACCATGGAATCAAATTTCTTCTGCGCTATTGTCAAACTGAAGAAAACAACTGTTTATTAAAATTCGTTCATTTTTACCTGACTAAATATATAGAAACATGTTCATATTTTTGTTATTTGCAGATCAGACGGATGTTAGTTTTGTTAGAAAGTCATATACTTAGATAGAAATATTCATGTTTAATGTTTTCATAAAAAAAAAGTTTGACGAAAAACTTTTATTTGAATCTAAAATGAGATATTATTGATCAAATCGAAATAACTTGAAACTATCATCTAAGTTCAATATTTTATAAGAGAAGCTGATTTTTTGCACAACGAATTCAAATAGACGACACTTTTCACAAAGAAATGAGACATTTGTTAATTCTCTGCATCATTTCTTTACAGAGGAACATACAGTATCAAAATCCATGCCAATTGTTTATACGAGAATAATACAGAAAAGAACTTGAAATTTTCATGTGTTATTGTTGTAAATTTTGATACCGTAAATTTCTCTGTAATGAAATGACGTATTGAACTAGATAATATCATATTTCGTCGCATAAAGTATTGTCTGTTCGAGTCTGTTGTACAAAAGTCACCTTCACCTATACTTCAAATTTTGTAGTCAAGATATTGAGTTTAGGTGATATTTTCAAATTATTTCGATTTGATCAATAATATCTGATTTTCATTTCAAATATAAATATTTAGAAGGAGGAGTCTCTATCTCAAGGGTATAGTCAAGAATTATCCAAAGGGAGTGCCCGAATTGTTATGGTAGTGTACACTAATAAGAAAACATTTTTTTGTTTCGTGGAAAGGCTTTTTTATCTGTACTTTCTGTTACGTCGTGAATATTGTATGAGAACGCAACTATTGAAGATGCCCGGTAGCACAATGATAATGATGGCAAATGATAAGAACGATAGAAAATCAGAATTGAATGTGAAAGAAGATCCGATAATATATATGTCATAAACAGAAAGAGAGAGAGTAGAGAATGTGAGAGAAAGAGAATATAAGTGAATGAAAATGTGTCTAATTGAAGAGAGAAACATCAATAAAAGTGAATAAATATGTCTAAGTAAGGAGTGAAATATGAATAAAGCACAGGTAGCTAATGAAAAATGAAAACATATCGACACAAAAATATGAAGCGCAGGCAACAACAGACGGAGGAAAATAACAGAAAAAAACAAATATACACGCATAACAAGTATCAAAGCAGAAAATTAGTGACGGTTCTGTCGTTTCGTCCTTCCCTAGGTGTGTTTTGCTCGAGAGGGATGCGTAGGCAGTCCTTGTACTATTCTGACTACACGCTTGCTGTATCTGCCTGTATGACTTTCAAGTAAAAGTAACACCTGTCTGACTAACACATAACGAAAATATGATAATGGTGCTATATTTTTAGTCAGACGAAAATCAATAAATTTTAATAAAAAGTTATATTTTTCAGCTTGGCAATAGCATCGAGAAAATCTAATTTTACACTTGAATAAACCATACTCGAATGCACATAATCACATGAACTTTACTTTTCTGAAAAGCTTAGAGTGATGAACAGCGAGCGACCGAACAATATCGCTCAAACAAATGGTTCTAGAATTTTGGCTGCAAAAATAATCAATATTTACTTCATTTAAAACAAAGACGAATTCTATTCCATTAGTTATAAAGTTCAGATTTAAATATATTTTCTTATTTACCTTTTTTCATTTGTTTCTTCATTATCAATCTGATGTTCTTCTTCTTTTAAAATTGTATAACCTTTTTTTGATGATAATCTTTGTGGATGTTGAAAAGGTTCTCGAATTTTTTTATAAGTTAAATAACTAAATATAGTTATATGTTCTTCATAATCTCCAACAATCATAACTTGTCCAGTAGGTGACCATTGTGCACAACGTACACCTAATGATAAATGATCATTTTCAGGTTTATATATATTTAATAATTTTCCATCAAGTGTATAAAAAACAATTTTATATTCATAACAATTTTCCCATAAACATAAAACATCATCACTTGGTGACCATTGAATACCTTGAAGATCTTCTAATTCATTAACATGAAAATGTGCAATCATTGACCAATTCGTTGAATAATTAAATATTGATATATGATCTGTACTATCATTTCGACGTTCAACTAATGCCATATATGGTTTTGATGAATTAAATATATAAGATTTAGGTGAAATTTTTTTTGGATATTTAATATACGAAACATTTTTTGATGTTAATGACCATACAGTTATACGTAAATGAAATTGTGCTGTTGTTAATATATGTCGAGAATCTGGTGCCCAATGTATTTGACAAAGACCAGCTGAACCTTCATCAATTTTACATTTCCATTCAGGATTATCTAATGAAAATATTTGTACAGCATTACGTTTTATTAACCCAGCTAAAATAAAACGTGAATCATATGACCATTCAATCGTATCTATTACGTCAATACAAGCAAATAAATTTATTATTTCTAATGTTGTTGATGTGCGTATTATTAAACGATATTGATTAACAGATGCTAAATATTGACCATCAGGTGAAAATGAACATTGATATGATGTTACTTTAAATAATTCTGTAAAATTCATCTAGAAAAAGAAAGAAAAATAACCAAAGATTTTCTATTTTATGTCCACCAAAAATTAACAGAAAAACTAGCTGAAAGAGAACGAACATAATGCCAATGACGTGATGGTATATAGAGCATATCGCCCGGTTGAAGTATACATTCAAGATAAGGAACATCTTTAAAAAGAGGAAATCGATCATAATCAGGATTTTCAACATCAATCTAAGACAAAAATAAATAGATCAAATAATCTGATTTATAAGTAAAAAACAAAAATTATTTTCTATTACTGAACTAGTATTGTTTAACATAGTTGAACCAAGTGCATATAATTTTGATGAATAAATAGGATCAATTAATCGAAGATATTTTTCTCCAACAACCTATAAATATGATTTGAATTATTTTATTAATTTTAATGAATATGATTTATTCTTTGTTGTTTTACTTGAGCAAGAAGATTTTGTTTTGGATCATTATGTAATGGTGATATGGTTTGTTTTGGACCAATCCATCTAGAAACAAAGAAAAATAATCGTAAAAATTTTCTAAAAATAATCATACGCATTAAGATCAACCTCTTCATCTTCGTTTTCATCTGAACTAATATAACAATAGTCTGGTATCAAAATATCTTTTTTTAAATCTGGAATCTATAAAAAAAAATATATATATGGTACTTGTTGATATTACAGTTTCTTTTTTTTATTACCTGATCGAGTAAAGGATGTTGCGCTAAATAACCACATTTTGAAGACTAGAAATAAATATCAAAAAAACAAAGCTAATCAGCAAAGCGTCTTTGGAGCTGAAATGTAGAACTTACATATGGTTTTTTGCCTTATTATATATAATACAAAATATATAAAATGAAAAATCTCTAGTAGTCTATAATTATTTTTCAAGGATAATCGATCGTCAAAGGAACGATCTGTCTTATTTATTGTAACATTTCGAACAGAACTTTTTTTGTGTTTTATTTGCGCTCTATTTTTTATTTTTCTTGTTGCTATGCGCTTGTTGTGTTTCATTTTTCTTAATTTAAGTGGTAAACGTACTATTATATGCCTCGATAGACTCAAAAACAGTGATATTGATTTTTTTTTCGAAATTTATAACTTGATTAGTTCAAGCTTTTTATATTGATCATATGATCAATGTAGTAAATCAATATATGATTACCCATCGACCTTGGCACTTCGAATATAAATTTTTATCTTCACACAAATCAATAACTGTAAAATTTAGAACATTGATACACGTATTTTAGTCATTCGAATCTTGAAGAAAGCTTTGGAATATTCTAGAATAGTCTCATACTTATTGTTGATGCCGTTTAACGTCTTTTTCCATTGCAAAATAGGTCTGACGTCTGTTGCCATTTCTTTTTCCTTCTCTAGTTGTTATGGCGGAGACAACCACAAGACCTCAACTTAAAACTTTCACTTACTCTATTCAAAATTAGAAGTAGGACTTCTATTATACGGAAAGCTACTAATACGAGTTGGGCGTGGGTGTTACCAAAGAGAAGACTCGTCCATACGATATTATGATATTACAAGCAGAAGAAATATGAATTTGTTAATGTGTCCCGGTGTTCAAATATCTGCTTCCACACAATGTTGCGGTTACAGAGTACATATTGATCATGATCTGAAGCATTGATAAAAAATAAAAATGAGTTCTTGAGATAGTCTTTAATTATAAGGATTTGACGTCTGGAGAAACATTTTTTATACGCAGACATTGCCTAGCCAAGATTGGTTTAATAGCATCTACAAAGGTTTGCTGGAAAAACTGAATTTGTGTGAACACATTAGAAGCTGTGGGGTTTATAATATGAAAGAGTCTTCTATTTCGGAAAGTAGTTTAGTTTTCTTCGAACAACATAATCTGAACTCCACAAATTGTGTTAATTATTGGACATATTCAACTTACTCTTCGTTGACAATATTGCTTTACAAAATCTGCTATTGTCATTAATTTTTGTGTCCAATCATCATCCGAATAACGGCTACCGATTTCAATTGGTACTGTCCGATCACCAGCCAACTTAATCAAATAATCAAAACTATATTGAGAAAAAAATATTATATATACATATAGAAAATAGATGATTTTACCTCCATTTTGACAATGCTGGCCAATGATCCATACAACCAGTGAGTATGACAGGTTTTTTTGTTTTCATATAGCATGTAAGAAATTGTTCGATAGATGGGCAATGAATACGTTCAACTGCTTTTGTTAAATCAATAATTGGTCTTGTCATCCAGTTGAAATCATCATTTTGATTATCGTCATCAAGACGTATCCGTTTTGGTGAATGCAGATCTACACTCTAAAAATATATTAACAAAACATAATTACATAAAAAGAAAAACGAGATACTAAAGCAATATATTTACAGATTCTTCATCTTGAGTATTCTTGAAATTTTGATTGATTATTGAAATAAGATCATTGAATTGTTTTTCGAGTATTGGTCCACCGAGTAAAATACCTAAATCACATTTTTTTATAATATCCTACTAAAAAGAAATAAAATATTAAATAGAATTAAATTTTTGAAATACATTTACTTGATAATTATCATGATTATCATTTTGTATTAATATTCTACAATCAACAAGTACATCAATATAACAAGCATAAGCATATAAATATCTATAAGCGTCTTTAACANAAATATTATATATACATATAGAAAATAGATGATTTTACCTCCATTTTGACAATGCTGGCCAATGATCCATACAACCAGTGAGTATGACAGGTTTTTTTGTTTTCATATAACATGTAAGAAATTGTGCGATAGATGGGCAATGAATACGTTCAACTGCTTTTGTTAAATCAATACTTGGTCTTGGCATCCAGTTGAAATCATCATTTTGATTATCGTCATCAAGACGTATCCGTTTTGGTGAATGAAGATCTACACTCTAAAAATATATTAACAAAACATAATTACATAAAAAGAAAAACGAGATACTAAAGCAATATATTTACAGATTCTTCATATTGAGTATTCTTGAAATTTTGATTGATTATTGAAATAAGATCATTGAATTGTTTTTCGAGTATTGGTCCACCGAGTAAAATACCCAAATCACATTTTTTTATAATATCCTACTAAAAAGAAATAAAATATTAAATAGAATTAAATTTTTAAAATACATTTACTTGATAATTATCATGATTATCATTTTGTATTAATATTCTACAATCAACAAGTACATCAATATAACAAGCATAAGCATATAAATATCTATAAGCGTCTTTAACATTTTGCCATATTCCTGTATTCAATTTTTCCCATGAATATTCCAAAACAATTTTTATATAGGGTTTAATTTTTTGAAATTGTTCATCATTATTTAAAATACTTCGAGCTGTTTCTAGACAATTTAATAAATAAGAATCAATTTGTTCATCATCTTTTGTAAAATGCTCATAAAAAACATTTAATTGAATATTTTGAATAAGGTCTCGAATTATTTCATTAAAAGTCATCTATAAAATAAAAGAATTGATTTAAAAAGAAGAATGTTTTTGAATATTATTGATTGAAAAGAAAAAAAAGAGAAATTCTTGTTTAAAATCCTTCTATTTTGAACTAAAAAGAAAAAAAAGGAATTTTGCTAGATTGAAGAATATAAATAAATGAATTTTAAATGTTTTTAGTTTCTGTTGTTGTTTTCGATGCAGTTTCTTGCTTAACTTTCGCATCCATTTCTTCTTTTCTTTCTTTATCTTCAATAATTTGTTCTTTTCGTACCAGATCAATTATTTCTTTCAAATGTTTTTTCGATATTTTAACTTTTTCATTCCCAATTATTTCAAATGCCTAAAAAAAAATCAAAAGACAAAACAAATCAAGCAAATAAAAACCTTTTGAATTTACTTTTAATATTTCATCAGCTTCAATGAAACCATCTTTATTATGATCAAATTGATTAATTATATCCCAAACTTGAGTATCCGGAAATTTATTTGAAACTTTTTGAATTTCTCGAATAGTATTAACTAATTCTTGAGTTGATACAAGAATTTCTCTGAAAATAAAAAAATAATTAAATATGAAGAAAGAATAATAAGATAGATTAACTTTTTTTCTGTAAGAAAATCTTTCTGTTTTTGAACTTGGTCCGTTTTTAATGCAACTTCTTTTAATTTATCTTCTTCAGTCTAAATATAATTAAACCAGTAGAAACCATTTATAGACCAATAGAAAAAAACAAACATGGAAACTAACTTTAATATCTATTTCAAGTGAATCTTGTTTTTTATCAAGTGTTTGAACAATGTGATCAAGATCACCAACAAGTTTATCAATACGTTTTGAAAGTGCTTTAGCAGAACGTGTTTCACTTAAATATTTAACTTGCTTTGTTGCAGCCAATGTTTCAAGTTCTTTAACATCTTCTTTATAATCTTTAACATCATCCTATAAAGTAATGAAAAAAAATTAAATAGATTTTTGTTTAGAAAAAAATGCCTTTAGTACAATCCTTGCGGGACGATTATGTAAAACACGATATAGCTCCTATTACTAATCACTAGAAGATTGTTTTGTTTTTTGCGGGACGCTTCTTCATCATCCTTCTACTTAATCCTCCAGAAATGCAATAAGGAAGTAAATCTCTTCTCGAAACAGGAGACGCCTCTAGACGGATCGACATGTAAGAAGTATTAGAAGCCTCAGAGCTTCTATTGTGTTCACACAAGTTCAGTGTTCCGAGCAGAGTTTCACGGTTGCTATTATATTAGTCTGAGTCAAGTGCCACCTGCGGATAAATAACCATTTCTTCAGATGTCCAACACTTATGATTAAGAAAAATCTCAAACAATCATTTTCATTTTATGCCGATGTCTGAGCAGTGATGGAACCAGAATTTTGCGCTAATGGACGGGGTAGTTTCTCTACAAACATTTTAGCCCCTCCTTCTGACAAGACTTCTTAAGAGAAAAATATATCTTTCAAAAATCTCGCTAGAGGAAGAGGGTTAAGCATTCACTGCATCTAGCCAGCTTCGCCGATGCGTCTGGCATTATAGTCGCTATGTGCTGTGTGGGTGTGTGTGAGTGTAGATGCATTAGTCTTCTCTTCAGTAACATCCAAACCCACTCACACTCCTGTTGAGTTTGAAGATTGTTTGATTGACTGTAGCATGCAGTCTACTAATGTAGCGAAATACCTGTTTTGATGTATTTTGGTATCATATTCCAACTAGTTAAATCCGTCATAGTCTGTAGGAAGGTTCAAATTTTAATCTCTATACTTCAACACTCCTTTTAAATCGTGTTTCACAAAAAGAAAAAGAAAATCAATAATTACTTTAAGTTCTTTAATTTCTTCAACTGTTGTTTTAACTTCTTGTGCTTTTTGATGAACAAGTTTTTCAAGTGCCGTTTCAAATTGTTCAACATCAATTTGTTGATCATCTTTTTTGTCTTCTTTTTTATGATCACTAAGTATAGGTGCTTTATCAACAAGAATTTCTGCTTTAGGAACATCTAATGGTATTGTTGGTGCAACAACTTGTTCAACTAATTGTTTCTTTTTCATTTCATCTTCAGATAATTTTTCATCTTTAGCTTTTTCTTCTTTTTCTTTTCTAATAGCTTCATCTTCACGTTTAATAGCTTCAATACGTTGTGTATTATCAACACGTTCACCGCTAACTTCAGCTATTTTAACAGCTGTTACACTATCAATTGCTTTTGGTAATGATTGAATAGCTGCTTTAAGTATGTCTTCTTGTGGAATATTTTCCGGTAAATAAAGTGCACGTGATAACAATAAAATAGTTGATGGTATACGTTGATTAAGATGAAGATCAAGCCACTGTTGTAATTGAGAACGTAAACGTTCAACACTAACACCAAGTGAACGCATACCACGTTCACGACATGCTGCTTGTAATTCTTCAACAGTAAGATTATTAATACCTTCATCTTCAATTAATTTATCATCAGCTTCTAAATTACGTAATTTTAAATGAAGTGTAAAACGAAGATAATAATCAGGACCAATTGTTGATATACCAAGAAGTTTACATAAACCAACTAATTGTGGACGATCAAGATTATCCAATGTTAATTTATTTTCAAATAATGATGAAAATTTCATTATGTCTTCAGTTGACGGTTGAACGCCGGTTGAACGAATCTAAATTAAACAATAGATTTTACTATTTTAAAATCATATACTTATCAATTTATAAGAATAAAATTTTTGATTACTTTTCGGTATGCTATCTTATAAAGATTACTAGTAAAAAAATGCGGAATGTGTTATAGCGAATTCTAAGGCTATCATACGTGTGAATAACAATAATTTCTGTACTTGGATTTTCATTCAATCGAGCTATGCTTTTGTTCTCCAAAGATTCTTCGATCAATTTCTTTCAAAATAGTACATATACTTTATTTAAAGGATATAATCTTTTTAATTTTCTAACAATTGATGAACATATTGGAGCTATCGATGCCAACTTTCTGGAAAAAAACAGCTTTTTTAAAGTTTCTCACACCATTTTTCAACTATCTAACTAGCTCGAATATCATTTTTACAGATACTTTGTTTACATTAAAACAAGATTCAATCTGGTTAAACAGTTGAAAAGTCATATGGGAAAGTTGCCATCGCTTGTTTCCACACTTTTATCGATTGTTCGAAAATGGAAAAGACTATATTTGCGAAATGAAACATACTATTTTTTAGATCATTGAACCAAGAGTCTTTGAAAATAAAGAATAAATCAATCGAATGAAAAATGAGAAAAACAATATGGCCAAAATCGTAAGACCGTGATTTATTCTGCCGTACTCATTATATAAGATTTACATCATAGAATAACAATAGCAATTCATCAAGATCAATTCTTCTAGAAAAAATATTCAATGATCTACTCGAAAGGATATTTTCCACATGCAATAGATGATGTTTTTTTTTCTAGTCAATATGACACAATCTCAATGTACAGGTGTTATTTTTATGTTCAATTGAAATTCTGGAAACAGTATCATATGTTGTAGAACTTTTAAATTCTATTGTAACAAGAGTTAGATTACGTCGAAAAGATCAACAATGCAAGAAATGACCTTGTTGCCTGTAAAAATAGTAAGATGGTGAAAAAAACGTTTAACAACAACATACTTTTGACTTTGTTTTCATAGAGTACAACATGAGGGGTCGCCACGTTTTCTACGACTTTGTCTTAAAATGTTGAAAGCATCAGAAAAGCGTACAAAAACCGAAACTTATCATAAACAACACGTTTTTTCGATTTTCGTGATGCTTCTAACCCTTTTAAGGGAAGGTTTGCAAACTACGGCAACTGCTCATTTTTGTCCTTTTTAAAATGGCATTATTTAAGGCCCCCCCCCCCTCAGAAGTCAACTTTGTTATTTTTTGTCCGATTTTAACCAAATATTTCAGAGAATGAGTCTAGGCTAGGATAGGCTATGGGTGAAATATCTTCCCCAAACCCCAGTATACTAATGAGTTACAGTCAATTTAGTGGTAAAAAGTACTCTGTACGCGGGCGGGGTTTTCGTCGTGAGGACTGGGAGCTAACAACTCGGGGTGGTGTCTAGGTTGTAGAGTACCCCGAGGGCTAGGTCGTGACAGAGCCCGATTTTTGAATTTTTCTTCCTTTGTTTTTTTAAAAATCCTTTTTTCAAAAATTCTTGAATTCATGATCAAAAAGCTCACTGATCAAAATGAAAGATCTACGGTTTTTATTTCATCAAAAGAGAAATTCAAAAATCCGGCTCTGTCACGACCTAGCCCCACCCGTCTACTATACAATAAAAAAAACCTATCACTTCTGTATCGAGTCATTATGAAGAAAAGCCTGCCCGCGTAAACGGTACTGTCGAAAAAACTGGTTTTGAAAAAAACGAAAAATAAGTTTTTAAAAACCTTATTTTTTCAATATGGAGCTTCAGAAAAACCTATGCAATATCCTTAAATCTCATCATAAAATTAATCAACTGTATTGCATTTGAGAGTAAACACATTGCTCTATCTAATGAGTTATAAATCACAAAATCAATAAATTAGACCAAAATTGACTTTTCTGAGGGGAGGAGGAGGGCTTAAAGCTAGCTTTCTAGAACCTGAGAACTATCATGTACGGTTTTTTAGCTGCCTTGCCGTCATAATTTATCTACGAAATCTTTACATAAAATGCATTAAATAAAAAGCTCCATTGACTATTCAAGTCAATATTTGGGTTTAAGTTGACTACGTAACATTATAGAGAAAATGTCTAATAATCGGAATATCCAATAATATGAAAATTTTCATAAGAATAAAACTTATGTTTAATGTAAGTCTTATTGAATAGATTCTTGTAAGTTTATAAAATAAATAATACCTTTTGCATAAACTCAGCAAATTGTGTTGTTAGTGTATCATCTGAACGTTTTTTTTTCGATTTTAATGCTGTATCTTCCAATGTATCTTGTAAAAATTTAGCTACTTCTAATTTTGCTTTTAATTGTTTTTTTAATTTTTCTTGCTAGAATAAAAAAGACAACAGAAAATAATATTGAATAAATTTCCGAAAAAAACAAATGTTTACTTCTTTATCTGCCTCTTTAAATGTACTTGGTAACATATTTGGAAAAAGTTTTAAAAATATTGGTAATGTAAATTCCATAAATGGAACAATGATGAAAACAGAAAATGGTAACAGTCGAAATAAATCAGCTGCCGTACGTGTAAACTAAAATAAAAGAATAGTTTTTGTTGAAATCTAAATTTTAAAAAATTGTGTTACTTGTTTTCGTTCTCGTCGTGTTAATGTATGACCATTTAAAACTTGTCTTAGAAGACGAAATGCAATTTTTGTTTCAATAAATAATAATTTGAAACCATTATAATAATGTTTTAATTCATGAACAATCCGTTGCCAAAGTGATTTACGTTTAATGACTGCTGAGTCAGTTGATGGTGTGCTTGTAGTAGCAACTGTTGTATCCGGAGGAATAACTGGAACAGTTATTTTCGTTAGTGTTGTTGCTATTGGTTTTGCTTTTTCTTCAAGAGCTCCATCTTTTAATAATTCAACTGTTTTTTCTATTTTAGATTTATCATCGAAAAGTATCGATGATGAATGAAATGACCGAATATGTGTTGATGATAATAATAGTAAACGATTCGTATCAATCGATGATATACGTTTACCATAATGATAATAATAAGGATGTGGTCTTACAATAATAGCTGTTGCTCGACCTAGAATATAAAATAGATATTCATCAATGTTAGAAATTCTCCTCAATATTCAAAAAATCATACCTATTGTCGATATCGACAAAAATCGGTTACTCATTCGAATAATACTCATTCGATTGATTTTGTCCAATGTTATCAATACATATTTTCATAGAAAAAAAAATCCAATAATCTAAAATAAATTTGATTGTTGAGAAAAAATGTTTAACTTTTTTTGACAAAATGCAATCATATTTTTATCAAAAATAAGATTAGATGTTTGAAAAATAAATTCATATAATTCTTTTTTTTTTAAATGAAATGTTTTTGCTACATGAAACATTTCTGATGATAAACTACAATTCATTAGGCCACTATCATCTGTGCATATTGCTAATGGATGTTTATTTTTATAAAATAAATCAAAATGATGTTCAGTTAAATCTAATAAATTCATTGTTAATAAATTTGATGTTGGACATAATTCAAGCGGAATTTGTTCTCTTAAAACACGTTGTTCTTGATCATTTGTACGAAAATTAAAATGACCAAGACGTGTGGGTTTATAATCAATAATTAAATTATTTTCATTTAAACATTCTTCATCAGGTAATTCACCAATATGTATTGTTGTCGATATATTTATTTTTTTAGCTAAATCAAATACTGGACGAAAACGTGCAAATGATTTTACATTTGGATCACCAGATAAATCAAGACCAACAATATGTGTACGATAGTTTTCAGCTAGTTTTAATGTTTCCATAGCTTGCTCTAATGTTTGTGTTCTATCAATACTTAGTACTAAACGTGAACAAATCTTTTCTTCATATTCTTTCATTACTTCGAGAATAGCGTCAATATAACTTGATGATGGAATTTTTCCATTATGAAATGAACGTGGACGTGTTCGAAGTTCAGCATATATAACATTATCATTAATAAAATCTTCTAATGTTTCACGTGTTATACGACGAATATCATCTAAATCTGTAACACATGAGCGAAGTAAAGAAAATTTTTCAAAAACATTTGCCATTCTTGAATGTGTATCACCAAGAGAAAATTCCTTATCAAGTGTGTCAAGACGCATTTGATCAGTAGGTGATGAAAGTAACTGACGAAATGTTGACGAACGAATACATCCATTTAAATGTGCATGAAGTTCTATCTTTGGACTTAATTCACAAAAACGTTGTAGATCATCCATTATTTACTATCGAAGAAAAACCTATAAGCAAACAGCAACTCAGTCAATTTAATGTTGTGAATGTTTTATCCACTCTAAACGAGCGCTACTTTCAAAGAATTGAAATAACTGATAGGTGCCGCTATTGATTGACACGACAACTGCTATATTTTTTAGAAAATATTACTCCATTCATAAGACTGTTGAGAGCAATAAACCAATTGAAAAACAAAACTTATCTGACTCAGTGTCATTGTGTTTTTTCCGCTATAACACTTTATTATTTAACAATGAATTTCTTTTTACTCCAGGTAGATTTTTTGGCGTGTTTACGTTACTCATATCATTTGAATATAAATATTTTCGTTTCGTTTTTTTTTTCTTGTCAGTATCATTTACCTTGTCTGTTTATAGCATCAAAAATATGCACCTCAAGTTTTTATTTTATTTCGTCATTTTTTATCAATTGTCAACCGTATTCTCAACTAATTTGGGTATGTTTATTAAAAAAATATTTCTTTTTGGAGAAATATTTTATTTTCAGGTCGATATGATGTATTGGCAAATGAAAACGATGATGGTATAACGCGATTCTTTGCTGTTGGTGATTGGGGTGGTTTACCATTTTTACCGTATGAAACTCCATCTGAAATTGCTGTCGCTGAAACTATGGGTAAATTGGGTAAAAAATTAAATACAAGTTTTCAATTGGCATTAGGGGATAATTTTTACTTTGATGGTGTTCAATCGGCTAAGGATTCTAGATTTCAAGTAAAAGAGAATTTTATCGAAAATGTTACATTATTATATATTTTTTCAGCATACATTTGAACATGTATTTTCAGCAACATCGTTACAAACACCATGGTACGTTTTAGCTGGTAATCATGATCATTTAGGTAATGTTTCAGCACAAATTGAATATGGTAAAACGTCAAAACGATGGTAAATAAATCATCTAAAATTTTATTTGATTAAAAAATGATGATTTTAGGATATTCCCAGATTATTTCTATTCATTCTCTTTATGGCAAAGTGATAAACAAAAGAAATTAATTGATTTCGTCATGATTGATACTGTTATACTTTGTGGAGGTGGAAATTTATCTGATTGGGAACATACACCATTAGAAGGTCCGAAAAATGAATATGTTGCTGAAGCTTATTGGCAATGGATTGAGGAACAACTTCGTCAATCGACGTAAGGAATTATTTAATGTATAAATATGTGTTGAATTATTTTGATTTGATAATCTTTAGTGCTCCATATTTAATTGTCAGTGGTCATTTTCCAATATATTCAATTGCAGAACATGGTCCAACAAAATGTCTTGTTGATCGTCTTCGACCATTACTTCATCAATATCAAGCAACAACTTATTTTTGTGGACATGATCATAATCTTCAAGTAGAAGTTTTTCTTTTTGATCGTTTAAAATATATTTGACTTGTTTTTGATTTTAGCATTTAGTTGATGATATGAATGGATCACATTTGGATTATTTTGTTATTGGTGCTGCAAATTTTATAGAAAATAGTCATGCTCATCAACAAGATGTACCACCAAATTCGCTTAAATTTTTTTGGGCTGGTTCAATTGTATTTGGTGGTTTTGGTTTAATTGAAGTTGATAAGACACAAATGAATTTTTCATTTATTGATCGTTCTGAAAAAACATTATATCAAACGATCATGAAACCACGTTTTTAATTAATCTTTTATTATATAGTGTTTTTTTCTTCGAAATATGATGCATAGAAAGGAAAAATAAATTCCACTGGTGATTTTCTGTGTGATACTTCATTCATTATATCATCGTATTGAATAGTATGGAATAGTATTTTTCTTTAATGCATTGTTTACTGTTCAGAATATCATGCAAAAAAACGATTAAATTGATTGATGCAAGATTCGGAACAGATCGATTGATTTTAGTCACGTTTATTACGCACAAGTGAATTAATAGATGTTCGTGGATTAAAATATTTGAATTCTAAGGTATTTACAGTGTATGAAATGTGTCAATGATTCAAAATTTCAGCAAGATTTATTTTTCTCTTTTCCTCAAAGTTGAATAGAGGTGGCCAAGTTATATGAGAAAAAGTACGTTTTACAAGTGTCGGAATACCTGATCTATTTCTACATGTATTCGAATAGAATGCTTTCGTAGACTTTCCTGTTAAAATGTTTTTTGTTTATCTGAAGCTTTTATTTGTTGGCCCATTTTATTTACTGTGAGTACCTTAAAATTCGAATATTTCAGTCAAGGTACGTCATAAGCAATTCATATTTGACACATTTGTCCACTGGAATCGAATATATTCAATATTCTTGAGTTACAAAACGCATTCGTCCATTGTGAGAGATTTTATTGAGTAATATGAGCATCGTCTTCAATTTTTGTTGTTTTCCTTCTTTTTCGATAGAGATGAATCTTTGCCATAAAAAGTTCGTTGATTAGTAGTTATCTTTGTTTGAGTATTTTTACGATATCCTTATATTCTTTTCTCACATTTCCTTTTTTATTTTTTATTTGAGGTTTCACCATCAGAAATTGTTGTAGTCCATGCAATGAGTAAATATGGTACAATATTAAGTCCAAGTTTTCAATTAGTATTAGATGACAATTTTTATTATGATAGTGTTCAGACAGTCAATGACTTAAGATTTTCAAGTAGAGACGACTCTATAATTTTTCTCTGGAAGTGGATTTATAGCACCTAGGGGTTTCACGATCAGTAGATGACGAAACAATGTCTGCTCAACTTGTTCCATCTGATTTAGAAAATTTTTGTTGAGCACCAACACAAATTTAAAGTGCTGTGTTTCACTAGCGAATGTGGACGAGGAGGTGAAAAGGGCTGATCGCCGCCTTTCTGAAAATCGTTCTTATTTTTCTCATAGTAGAATTGAGCGAAAATCAGCTGCATATATAACCTTCGATGAAAAACTTCTCTTCTTATCATCAGCATCCTTGATTCACCATTGGTGTGCGTAGCTTACAATTAGGAGGGGGAAGCAGGGTGATTTCCCCCTTCTAATTTTTTTCTTGCGTTTTGCCTTTCTCCTAGGAAATTTTCTGTTGTGGATAGCTAACAGTTTTTAATCTTTCGGTGAACCAGATTGACTATGCAAAAGCGAAGTTCTGTTGCCAATTTGTTAAAGAGAAAATAAACTAGGTTGCCATTAGAACAAAACTCGAATAGAAAAGGCGACTGACTGTACGAGCCCGAAAAATGACAGAATACGACTATATACGACATCTGCTGTTTCAAAATCTTCGACTCATATAGAGGAAATCCTTATGAAATTAAGTCGCGTTTGTGCCGATATTGATGGCACGCTTCGATGATTCTCCTTCCTCCTCCTTCTGTTCTCTTTCCATTGTTCTAATATATCTCTCTCCTGTCTCTCTTCTATCTCTCTCCTATATATACGTGTG